GAGCAGAAACCCTTTTGGGGGGGGGGGGGGGACTCATGTTTTACCTGAAGATATGCAAAGTGTCTAGTGGAAGGTAAAACATTTCTTTATAATTCAGTATGCAGGTGAATAATTCATAAACTAAGAGCATTTGTCAGCTCATGCAGGGGCCATTCAGAGCAGACCAGCAGCATGCTGTCCACGCCAATGTGGTCTGTAATACCTGAAAATATTGAGCCTTGATGCTCAGATGGAAGATTGAGGATTGAATCGGGCTCATGAAAATCCTGTCTCTATAGTCAACTGGATAGTGTATGTTGATTGTTGCTTTGATTTCAAGAATGTTAATATGATTTGTCTTGCATACAGGCAGCTATGTAATCCTATGTAAATGAGTGATGTCATCACAAACACTAATTTGTCAGCTAATCCAAGTTTGAAAGGGCCTGCATTATAGAGATATGACTTAGTGTGACCACTTCCATCCTATTGTGCCTCGCAGTTCTGTCCTAAGTCCTGAGGATTCAGTTATAAGCCCCTGGGTACTGAAGAAAATGACTGTACTCTCTCAGCCATGCTGAAACAAATTATGAAAACTCCACAGACAGAAATATGATTTCTGTCAGGACCACTATCGTCAAAATGATAGATACTTAGCATAAAGTTTGGTTTGGCAGTATGGTTCTGTTCTGGGCAAAAAACTCCCTGCCCATCCAAGCAGCCTGTCATGAATGAGCAGGGAGAGCAGCAATAATAACCCCCCTAGGGTTAACAGAACAGAACCAGGCAGATATCATTAATGTACTTAATGATATTTAAGTGTAACACTTTATTCAAGATAAAGGAGTCTGATTAGCAAGGAATATCAGAAAGCCAAGTCCTGACTGTGGCGAAAGGAGGAGCTGGGGATGGAGGAAGGTAATTTGCTCCCGAGCAAGCTGAAAAGCTGCTGAATAATACTGAATAGAGCTATATAGGAATGCCACGATAGGTGATAGTATTCCTATAGGTAGATGTGATCAGCTGAGAATCAGCTGATCCAAGCTTGACTCACGTGACCTGCCAGAACTAATGCTTAATATAGTCATGCTGGAAATAACTACCGTATTGACCCGAATATAAGACAATGTTTTTTTCTTGGAAATACATCTGAAAAAATGCGGTCGTCTTATATTCAGGCTCTAGACTTTGACATGTCAATAATACACCCACAACAATAAGTGGCGCCAAATACGCATAAAACGAGTGTGCCATGAAATACGTAATGTAAT